TTTCAATATTATTGTGCAAAACGTCCTTACCTTTCATTTTTAGCATTTTTACCCCTTCATTTCACCTTTCATTGCGTAAAAGGTCATTTTCATCCATTTTTTCAATAAAATGACGATTTTACCCTCCTATTGAAATAAAACAAAAAGAAAAGAAAAAAATAATTAATTAATTGCAATCATAGTTCTAAATCTTTCAAAACATTACAGATAAATCCTAAATTCTCCACTACCGCCACTTTCCCAACCCCACCAAGCCACCACCTATAGATCCATATAGCACCACTTTTCGACCACAACACCTATCGGACTCCACCACCACCAGTGTCGCCTCACTCTCCCCAATATCCTCCTCCATAGTATTGGTCACTAATCTGTCTGAAACAACTACATTTACGGTGGTGGAGTCCGGTGGGCATGGTGGCCGAAAGGTGGTATTATGTGGATTTATAGTTGACAGCTTGATAGGTTGTGAAAATTGTGGTGGTTGAGAATTTATGATTTATCTGTAATGTTTTGAAAGATTTAGAACTATGATTGCAATTAATTAATTATTTTTTTCTTTTCTTTTTGTTTTATTTTAATAGGAAGGTAATATCGTCATTTTATTGAAAAAATGGATGAAAATGACATTTTGCGCAATGAAAGGTGAAATGTAGGGGTAAAAATGCTAAAAATGAAAGGTAGGGACGTTTTGCACAATAATATTGAAAGGTAGGGACCTTTTCTACTAATTATGCTAAAAAATAAAAGGTAAGGACGTTTTGCACAATAACTTTGAAAGGTAGGGACCTTTTGTGCTAATTACCTTTTTGATTTAACGGAGCATTTTAACGGAGAGTTGACAGAAGGACGTTTTGCACAAAAAAAGGTAAAGGTAAGGGTGTAATCCGTCAAAAAATGAAAGGTATGGACGTTTTCCACAAAAACATCAAAAGGTAGGGATGTTTTATGCTAATTACCCTTTTTTTTTTCTTTTTTAAATTTCTATCATTTTTCTTTTAATAGTCTGTCTTTTTGCTTTTTAAGAATTGAGAGTTAATTATACTAGAGAAATATTGGTTTAAGGGGATATGACTTTTCAACAAAAAGTAACACACTTTAAACTTCATAAAATTGTTGCCTAATTTATGTTTAAATATAACAATACATCATTTATATTACTAATGGAATTGTATATCAATAACAACTAGGGGCAAATACAGCATCGAAGTCCAGCTAGGACGAAAGTCGACCGTTAACCATTGATCGTCAACAATCGACGATCGTGATAGTCTGATCATTTATTAAAATTTGATTAAATAATATTAAAAGTTATTCAATTGAATTGAGCGGCCAATATTTTCTCAATTAAATTTTTTCTAATTTCCTAAACATAAATTCCCATGTCAATAATAATAACTCATAAAATATAAATTACTTATCATAAATTACAATTTGCAAACATAAATTCCCAGACCAATAATCATAACTCATAAAACATAAATTACTTATCATAAATAATAATTCGCAAACATAATGTCATAAACATAAATTCTCAAATCAATAATCATAACTCATAAAACATAATTACTTAACATAAATCATATTCATTAGAATCATTATTCGACATTCAACATCAACAAGCAAGGGCGAATACAAAATAGAACAAAAAAAAAACCGAGAGAGAGAAAGAGTCACCAATCACCAGCTCGAGACCAGAAGGCAGAAACGACAGACGGCAGCAGAACATATCGTTGGCGGCTTTGGGCTCCAACAACTCCTCCTCCTCGTGGAGTCGGTGCTGCTTCTTCTTCGATTTTGAATGGAATTATAGAATGGAGTGTGTGCCGTCTGGACAAGAGAGTGGAGGAGAGGAAAAGCGTTTGGCTTTCACCCTTCACAATTTGGGCAATTGGATTCTTGGAATTGATTTGAAAATGGAATAGATATGATCATTAGGAAATTGGACCATTTGTTATTTCGTTCATTTGGGAATTTATTGGGCTAAACAAAAAGAGGCCCAACATCTTATTAACTTAATTACTCACTTCCGTCCAAACAAAAAATAATAGGTCGTCTCTTTCATCTTCGTCTTCCAAGTTCCATCTCGAGCCAGCTCTGCAAGTCTGCAACTGCAACCTACTGCTGATTGCTTCATGAGGGTTCTGAATATTTCGACGGAGCGAGCACACGCGATCGTGCCTCCTCGCCGGATGCTTGCTCCGCCCCTGATAACAACTTAGTCTCTTTTTAACGACATTAAAACTTCGCTTCTTGCCTTCTTCAATTCCCCTTGAAGTAGAGGGAACCTTCTTTCTCTTTTTGTGGGATGATGTATCACTTTTTTGACAAAAAAAAAAGTCATGTTTTAATAAAAGTTGTTGTATGTGCACTCTATTAAAAAATAATTTCACTTATTATGTAACTTTTATATTCGAAATCCTGCCTCCATAGTATATGAAGACGTTATTTTTATCGATATATGAAAAAAGAATACAAGTGAGATAATGTCAATTTTTTTAAAAATAATAATAATAACAAAGTATGTCACCTTGAAATTGCACCATATTAATTCATATGCAAAAGACAAGTGTTAAGTTATCTCACATGTATGCGAGAATTTCACATTGTTGCTTTAGACCAATGTGAATTCTATTTTCAATTAAAGTTTTCAATAAAATTTTGGATTTTACGAAAGTCTATAAAAGTCCAGAAGACTTTCATTAATTCCGTACAATCCATAAAATATCCACGAAATCCACAATAATCATGTTAAAGCTATGTTTGAATTCCCAATTGAATACACCCCCTTAAAGTAATATTTGAATTCATATTCATATTTAAATTTTGACAAACACGCATGTGTACATCTCTTTAATTGATCCAAAAAAATTCAAATGAGATGGATCGTGACTTTCTTAAAAAAAGCAATATAGCATGTCATTTTTCTCATTCTCATATTTACATTTACATTTTCGCAGACACATTGCATGCATATCTAAAGTTGAATTTTCATATATACTAACTGAATCTAATTTATATAAATCTGAATTTTAATATATATACTAACTTAAAATCATTAATCTAAAGACAAAATTTCATATCATGTATTGTAAAAAATAAAAAATAAAAAAAATCAACCCCACCAAATTAGAAAATAACTCTTATTGTATTACCGAACAATTGAAAATAGAAATTATTTAAATTCCTAATCAATTAATGAATAAACATGCAAAAGTAAAAAAGAATCCAGAATTATTTACTAAATAATTTGAATCAAATTTCGAAAAATTCCATAGCAAAAAGCTTTAAAATAAAAATGAGTGTCATCTGCAAAATGGAACTTACGATCCTGATTATAAATGAAACTGAAAGTGAGGATGAAACTAATCCCAAGATCTGAAAAGTGACTTCCAGTGCAATAAACAGATGTAGAGTCGTCGTCTTCGTCATCATCATTTTCAAATTTTAAGAAAGAAAAGAGCAAAATATCATCACAATAATTTGAAAGAAAGGCATTTTTAACTTTGAATTTGAGTTAGATGTGAAGAATTTTGTGAGAGAATTACAGTTCTTGAATTGTGTCGGTTTAGGATTGTGATTTGGTTGATTTTACATTAATTTATACGTATTTTATATGTCAATGAACGTAATTAATTGTTGACTAATTTATATACTCATTTTTCAAATTGGTATGCCATTTTAGTGTATTTATGTAAAATGCCCAACAATTATTGCCCCCGGCCTGGCCCCATATTTGACAGTGCCTAAGGGCTGATATATGCCCAGTCACGGCCCATTAATTGATAGCCAGCTATATCAACAATCATGCTATATGGACAGGCTTAGTGATAGAATTTTTTTCTAGACTACACTTGACAGATTTTCATCGAAAAGTTGGAAAAACAAAACATAGAAATATTCAATCAGGAGCTGCCACATCACCCTATTTTTCTTCCCAGATTTTTTTTTCCCTTCTTGTTTGAGTAGCATTTTTCCTGTATCAAATGGCCAAACATGGCTTAGGTGTCAAACATTGATGCACCTAGCATGTGTGTTCATTGATCTTTTCGTGGGTAAAATAAATTGACAAATAATCTCGATCATTAGAAAGGTTAATCTAATAGTTTAAATACATTTTAGGGAAAATTGAAGCAGAAGTCTCAAATCTTTAAAACATTAGCAAATTTTCTCAAAATCTTTGATTTGTTGCAGTTATCATCCCAACCTTTCTAAACGTTGCAGGAAAAGCCCTTTTAAACAATTTTCATTCACAATTCCATCAGTTAACCAAAAATTTAATTTGAATGCATTTTTTATATTTTAAAAGGAATAAAAGAGTAACTTTTTATTTATCACATTAAATAATAATTAAATTAAAAAATAAAAAAAATACACAGACACACCTCCTGTCTTCCTCCTCTCACCCCTTACGCAACCCATCCCACGCCACCCCAACTTAAACCAAAAATCCATTGGACCACGGCCACTTCTACCTCCACCGACACAACCACAAGCTATCGCCCACTTGCTACCATCTTTTTAAGGGATAGAAAATGGAAGAAATAATAATGGGCGAGGAGGACGGGAAACTGACTTGGAAGAATACAGAAATTGCACGAGGACGGAAACGGCGTCGTATGGAACATCCGCTATGCCGGAGCCTGCAAAAAAAAATTCTTAAACCCAAAAAAGGAAAATCAAAAACTCGGTTGAAATTTTCGGAAAGTAGATTGAATTTTGTGGGTACAAGAATGGAATAAATACCAAAATTCTAGAGTGTGTCGAGATGCGTCTGCGTCCCAAAGTGATGATTTGGATGGCAGGTTCCAGTAATTCATCAGCAACCATGGCTCCGTCGCCCACGAACGGAGAATTTTCAAGAAACTGATTCTGTAATTGAACCATGATTATGGAACCTGGCAAATGTTGTATTTTAATAATTACTTGAATAATTTGTGACAACTATTAACGTGGGGTTGCTGTGTAAAATGTAAACACAGTTCCTAGGTTGTTTATAGGAGTATTTGAAATATATATTTTTATTTATAGACAAGGGAAGAAGATATTACCTGCTACCATCTTTTTAAGGGATTGTTATGGGGTGGATGATGGTGGGCTGTAGCAAGTGGTTGTGGAGGTGGAGGTGAAGGTGGAGGTGGCGATGGATTTTTGGTTTGAGTTGGGGATAGGTGAGTGGTGAGAGGAGGAAGACGGTGTGTGTGTGTGTGTTTTTTCTTTCCTTTTTTTTTTTTCATTTCTTATTTTTTAATTTAGTTATTATTTAATGTGATAAATGAAAAGTTACTCTTTTACCCTGTATAAAATATTAAAAATGTTGTCAAAATTAAATTTTTGGTCTACAAACTGAATTGTGTATGAAAACTGTCTAAAAGGGCTTCCCCAAAGTTTGGAAAGGTTGGAATGACAACTGCAACAAATCAAAAGTTTGGAAAAGCCTACTAGTGTTTCAAATATTTGGAATTTCTACTGCAATTTTTCCTACATTTTAATGAACCCCCAAAAAGAAAAAAAGAAAAAACATCAATCACCTTTTATAATCCTTAAATATTCCATACTTTCCCTTATTGGCACATTACTTGTTCCTTTCTTTTCCCAACCCCCGTCTCCCAAGCAAGAATGAAAATAGCCTCATAAGGGGTAGAGATGGCAATTTGAACAGTCAAAATCGAAAACCGCGGTTAACTGAACCGAATGGGGCGAAAAAAATCGAACCGATGGTGCAATGGGGCGGATATGATTTTGATTTTAATGAACCGGTTCGTAATGGTGCGGGTATGGTATTTACGTCGTCGAACCGAAACCAAACCGATTACCCGCTAAAAAAAAAAAAATTGAATTGATAATGGACTTTACACTACTTTTCTATCAAAATCAAAACAAAATCCCTCCCCTCCTCATTACATATACCTGACTCATTCGGCCAGTCTACTTAGCATTAGCCCATAATAGCATTAGTATGACAGTATATAAATGTAAACCCTACTATCCACAACCACAAACTCACGCACGGCCCCATTGCCTCTACGGTCCAAATCGTCGTCGCCCCCGAAAATTTGTTGCATTTGTTAGTCATTCTATTACTACCAATCATGTAAAAACAAAATTCGATGTTTTTCTAGACGTGCCAATATTGCCAAGGATGAATAGGAATCAACTTTGAATGCTGATCCATACTAGTAAGACTTGTAGGGATGAATGCATCATGTAACTTCAATGCATAACAATTAAGAATGAAGGAAAAGTTTAGTATTATTATATTTATAATATTGTTTGTTAAATTTGTATTTTACAATTGAAAATTAGGATAATGTTTACATTTACGTTTGGAATATTGTTTGATAATGCTTGCATTTTCGTTTAGAATATTGTGTTTTTGTTTTCATTGACTTTTTTCATAAATTGTTTTATATCAATTTGACGGATGAACCTATAAAAAATAATTTATTTTCGTGGTTATTAATCGAACCGAACCGTGCCGAACCGAGATAAAAACCGAACCGAACCGATTTACGTGGTTATGGTGCGATTATGGTATGGTCAAAAATTTGATGGTGCGGTTATGGTTTTGGCCGAACCGACCCATAACCGAACCGTTGCCAACCCTAATAAGGGGAGATTTACAAGGAGGAGAACTGTATCCTGAATGTTCGATCCAAGTGTGTATAAACTGTAACTGCATCCAGATTTATCTGGGTGGTGAACCAGGGGGAAAGGCCGCCACTCCTCAAAATTAGTCAGGTAAAATTTGGACACCTGAGTTATCAAAAAATAAAAATAAAAAGGTCATTGGTCACCTCTATAGTCAAAATTCATTTCTCAAACCAGCTGCCTCTGTTTATCATTATTTACTTTACAGTTTTTCTTATTATTTTTTCTACTGTACTCATTTTTAATCACATATTATTCATTAAATAATATCACACGCAAATAAAAAAAAATTCGTTGTTTTTTCATCAGGCATTCTCCATCAATGACTATTCCATAATACATTTCTTCAAAGAATAATTCTTCTTGAACATGCTAAAAAAAGAATTGAAGGAAACAGACCGACGTGTGAATTAATGATTTGGTGTTTTGTTTTTTCCTTTTTGTTTTTTTTTTTCAAACTTTCTAATCCCGAGTTAACACATGTCTTCCTTGGTTTTGAATATGTCTTCAAATCTGTTTATATAGCATGTTTGTTCTTCAAATTAATGGGTTCAAACAGGACCTATATTTGTGTTCCCACAAACCAGTTCTATCGCAAGAATTTTTCTATTTCTATTGCTTTATAAAGATTTAGAAAATTTGGAGAGTGTTTTAAGAAAGACAACAGAATTTACATATAGAGATATGGCTCTTGCTTTGAATTTTAATTGTCTCATTGATGCTACGCAGCATATCGAGTGCATATGAGCGATAACGTTATTTTCCTTGGGCCGACGCAAAGAACAGCTTCTTATTGTCTTTGAAGACGAAAAAAGAAATTTGTAATTCAAATTGTTAGTCACTTCAATTTTTTTATTTTGGGTTTCAAAGGTGAGCAGAAGAGAATGAATTGTGGGATGCGTATAGAGTATTTAGGAACTATAAGAGGTAATTGATGTGTTTGCGGTGGATTTTAAAAGGTATTCCCTTCGTCTCATTTACATAGGTTAATTTTGGTTTTCAAACGAATTAAGAAATCTTACTTAATATTATTGAAAAAGCCATTTTTGCTAAAAGCCTTTATAGTCTACCCTTATTTATATTAGTACAATTTCAAAAGAAAAAATAATTATAACTAAGCAAATTATATAAGGGTAAATTAGTAAATGAACAAAACAAAATATTCCCAATAAGGAAATAGGACTATATAATTGAGATAAAAAAAAAAAAAAAAAAAAAAAAAAAAGGGAAAGTTAGCCTCTATAAATAGGACGTAATGGTGTTATTAAAGTTTATATAAACTATTAGATTAGCTTCTGTAAATGATCGAGATTATTAGTCAATCTTATTTTGAAAATTCACGAGCATAATTGAGTTTGAGTATATATCGTGACTTGAACTTGAAACCTTTACGTTAAAAGCCCAATGTACTAACAGTTGAGCTATTGGAGGCTTGGTGCTATTAGATATGCTTATACCTTTCTATATAGACAGTATTTCGAACTAAAGCCCTTTATTAGGGCAATTCAGTTGCTTTCGATAATCGTGTTCGCAAAATAAGTCTTAAAAACTTTCCAATAATCGTATTTATCTTGTGGCTGGATTAAGGTGAAAGAAGGTATGCATGGTTTGAACACAACGGAGGAGGGCTCGTAGCCTCCCCTCTTTCTTGAAGTTAATTCACAAGATTGATTGAAATTCAAGACTCAATATAGTATAGAATGGTCCTCCAAATTTTACTTTCATATGCCAGATTTTAGCATCACGTATTAAAGTATTTGATATTCTATTTAACATGAAATTAATTAGAAAATTTTAAACATTCCAAATTCCATATTTATAGGGTATGGGTCCGGGAGATATTAGAGGAAACAGGTGGTGGGTCGTGGGCTCTGGGCCTATGGGCCAGTAACTCCCAACCCCACCTTTGAAAAATGAATTAGGAATGGAATCGCATTTAAGTGCACGGGGGAATTGGATTTATGTGAAGCTGGGCACGTGGGTACAGTAGGACTTGCAGAGTTGTGTTGACCAATCAAACTTCCTTCTGAGTAATTATCTCGGTGAGACGTGTCGATTCAACTCGTGTCGGTCATCAAGCGATTAACCCGCAATTTTGTGTCGGAATTCTGCAGAATTTTGAATGGATTAAACTCTTTGGTGAGATTTCCATTTGTACCCTGCATTTAACACTTTGGGTTACCCAATGTGAGGAAAGGGGTTGCACTCCATACATTTATCGACATGGAGCCCTAACCCCCCATGTGACACTCCGAGTACCTGTAGCAAGTTTTTTTGCCAAAAAATGTTTGCCCACTTAATTGACTTGAACTCATATACTTGTGGGATTTGTGTAAATGAAAAATGTCAAAAAATGTTGCCTCCTATTGTGAGTGTGATGTCAGCACCCTCATTGACAGCATAACATGATTCATTTTGAAGCTTAAGCTATTATTAAACATACACCAACTTATTTGTCTATAATGAAATTGAAAAAAAATAAAAAAAAATACATATTATATACCATTTGTGATGAAGGAGTAGCGTATAAGTTGGTATAACACAATGGGAGGGTGTAGACAAATGGTTTATTGCGAATGAGCAGTTACTTTGATAGTTTACTACTAAGGATAATTTCCACATTTATGAGTAATTTATTTAGAATACGTAAGCTCGAGCATCTCCGGTGAAATCGTGGATTGATTCAAAAGATTATAACATAAGCAAAAATAGACGATATTTAAAAGAACATCCGTTACTCAAGTTGATAAGAACCCTATCAAGTTGACGTGATAGATAAAAGAAATAGACTATTTCTAGTCAGAAGTTTAGATAAAAAAAGACTCTAGTAAACACGTTCAATCAACAATTTAATTGATTCTATTTCTATTTTTAAAATAGAGGGTTCTTTATCTTTCACTCTATTTTATTATCTTAATTTTAATGTTAATAAAAGACACATGCAGAAATACTGATTAAAGATGGAAGTCATTAAAAACCAATTTCAGACTTGATTGTCTATTCATTCGATATAAATGTCACACTCACTAAAAATATTCTATTTAAATTTTACATAGGATAATATCCACAGAATATGTTTGAGATGCTCTCAGAGTGAGAATTTATTCAAAATTATATTTATTTTTTAAAATTATTTCAATTTTAATCACGCATTCTTTCTAGATATGATAGTGCTTTTGTATTGGAACTAATGTAAAAACGTTTAGGATTTATTCGATAGTGATTATGAGAATTAATTTTTTGATTATTAGAGAGAAAAGTGGATTCCACCTATGAGAGATGAAAAATTACTACTAAACGGAGACTTAGACCAGTCGTGAGAGGCCTATAATGTAATATTGCAGGTCCCATGTCGTATGGGACCATAGTGAACAGTAAAACATTGTTGGATTCTGACTAGTCTCAAATCATATGGGACCAAAACAAACAGTAGGAAACCGTGTATAAATCTGACTACACATAACTTTCACGTTCACAGATTATTTGATTCCATCACTGCATTTTGTCACTATTAGGACTAAAACATAAAAAACTCAAAAACTTGGCCCTCTCAGCACTCTTCAAATCAAACCATAAATAACCTTTATAAACCATGTTTGATTCCTTTTACTTTACTTAAATTTATTTTGAGGCATTTTCAAGAATGTCCAATTTTAAGAGTATGAGTTGAAAAGTGTCCACTCATTTGAATTTAGGGTCAATTTGTCTATTATGCCCTTAATGAAAAGCTACATTTTGAAATGGTATTCTCGACATTTTAAATGTCGTTCCCAACATTTGACTTTTTTATCAATTTGTCACCAATTTTGAGAAGTGGCTTCCATGAGAAGTTATTACATTAAAATAAATTCAGACGACAAAATAAAAAAAAAATATATATATATATATATATATATATATATTTTAAAAAATAACGTGAAAAAAAAAAATATATATATATATATATATATATTTTAAAAAATAACGTGAAAACAAAAAATATGATACTTTAAAAAAAAAACAAAAAAATCACGTCCATGTGACACGGAGACATTCTCGACATTTGAACACTGTTTCATTAAAAAAAACGAAAAAATCACATCTCCGTGTCACAGAAACATTCTCGACATTACACGACATTTGAATACTGTTTCATTAAAAAAAAAATGAAAAAATCACGTCTCCGTGACACGGAGGCAAGTGCCTCTATGTCACGGAAACATTCTCGACATTACATATATCATTCTCGACATTTGAACATCGTTTCATTTGTCTAGAATGACATTTTATTTTGAACATGACATTTCTCTATATTTGAAAATGTCGTTCTCGACATTTTTGAGTCAACGAAAAATATGGCATTTATTGTGATTTGACATGTATACTTTTGAAATAAATATGGCAGGTTATGTGTCAAAATTTTATTCACCAATAACAATTTTGCAAAAATGTCCATTTGTTTTGTCTTAGTGTGGAATTAAAAATTGTTAATAAGGATATTTTAGTCTAAATTTTTTCAAATTGGACATTTTTGCAATGGTTTGCAATAATGGACATTTTTGCAAATGACTAGGTAAAAATAGACATTTGATAAAATTTCCTCATTTATTTTTCATACTCATTTTTAATTACACATTCACATAATAAAATATTTTATATGTAAATTCATAATTTTTATTTTTTTATTTTTACTACACATTATTGAAAAAATAGTATTCAAAACTATGTATTTTATTTTAAAGTCCACCGAACAGGGCTAAGTTTTAACATATGCTTTTAGACCGTTTGATATTTACAGAATCTAATGGTATGCTCTACCGACACCCGACACTCACAAGAAGAAAAGTCTATTACTATTGGAGCATCAAAGAATGTCATTTTAGACATTGCAGTATATTATGTAATGGATTTACCCACCCCCAGAAAAAGTAAAATAAAATACGGGTATTGTTATTTACCACCACAATTTTTATACATGCATCTCACTCTATATACATTTCTATTAAAATATTAAAAAATTATTATTTTTATCCACGTCAAATTTCAATATTATCCTTATATTCATTCACTTAAACATTATAGATCCACACAAATTTTTTCGTTAATGGTATACTAGACAGTTTAGTACTAAATTAAAAAAGTGAAAATTTTTGAACTGACACCCATGAAATTTGATATTTTTGAAAATACCCCTTTATGATATTCTCTCAAAAGTATACTGCTCAAGCAATTAAACAATCCCTCCTCAAATCATATGTTAATGATTTTTTTTAGCTTATAAGCTCATAATTAAAAAAGCATAAAAAAAATAAGATTTCATTTTTCATGATAATTATAATTCTAATAATGTGTTGATTTTTTATTTTTTTTATTTCCGTTGAAGATGATATTTTATGATTTTAAATGAAAATAGTATTTTATTATTATTAAAATTTTATTAAAACATAAACTCTAAAAAATTATTAAAATAAATATTAGAGGATGAAGTTAGAATAATATTGTTATGTGTTGTCATATTTGGCCAACCTATTTGGGCCTATGGCCAACTCAATCCGAACCACGTGGCGCTCTAACCGAGGTGGTTTGTATGGTCGATGCCCATATGCCGAGGCGTGTGAAGATAGCCGAAACCCTAAAGCGGAAGTACTACGTGAGTGGCAGAAGCCTCGAATCCGAAGCCGAAGCAGAAGCCTCCGAACCATGAAGGAACGTCTTCCATGATCACTTCTCCCAAGAGATCTTCTACATAAAGATCTTGTTAGTATGATTGATGGAACGTTTGTTATAAGTATACATATCAAGTCTTGTCATTAGCATGGGGGTTCTGCATAAGCAATAAATGCGCAGCAAGCTAACAAGTCAAGGATGATGCTAAGATTGGATGTTTGAATTAAAGAAATGAGGCCACGTGCCACCTCATCCAATGGCTGTCATTTCACATTTACCACTATAAATATTTCCCTTGCATAACATTGAAGGACTAATGCAAGAATCAATACAAGAAACCACACTTTACTCTCTTTTTCATATTGCTTTACAACACAATACTAGTTCATACATATTTACATACATATTCATGAGCACCGATTGATAATTATTGTACAATCGGATTACGAACATCTCGCCGGATTCCGAACGTTCTCGTCCCGTGTCGTTGAGCTACTCCCACGCCCTTGATTCTTTCGTCCTAGACTGTCCACGTGTCTTAGCGTGTAGGACCTTCGATCACGCGTGCGCGGGTGGGTCCGGCATCTGTTGACAACATTTTTTGGGGTCAACAAATATATTTTTATTTAATTATATATATTTCTATTTAGATAAATTTATATAAGATAAAAAATATAATATAATTATATTTTAAAAAATGGATGTATATATAAAAACTGTCTAAAATACCTTAAGTCTATGTTGAGTTGAGTCCACAATGAAAGACAAAGTTTACAGAGGAGGATATTTTAGACGACTTTTCAAAGGGAACAAACCCACATGCACTTTCCAATATATTTCAACCCACTCATGAGAAGTAGCTGCCACAGTGCCACTCGACAGATAATGCATTTGGGCGAGACTGAAAATATTCAACTTTCACTTATTGAGTCCACACGAGGGGATAAAATGACACAATAATTGTAAAAGAATTGTTGCTTTTTCACTTGGAAAAATCATACTTCTCGAGTTAACAATATTAAGGACATATGAAATCGATATAAATTATAAAAAACGTCATATGTAAACTATTTGATTAAATTACGATCATCTTCTTGACTCGATAACAGAGCACGAGTGCGAGCGCTATCACGTCAAAGTTGATTTTCTATTTCTAAATATGATTAGATAGAAAATATTATTTTGGATGTGAGTTACTCCTAAAATATAGGTTAATTTGCACATACAGTTCCCACACTTTACCCATTTGCACTTGGATCCCCATTCTTTTAATTTTGACAGATGGGTCCCTAAAATATCATGACTGCAGCACATCGTGAGGGATGGATGGAAATTGTCCAAGATTCCTTCAACTTGAAAGCATGTAACCAATTCAAAAAATGGTTTTTTTATCCACACATTACATAGAAAATTAAAATATTTAGTATTTAACATCTAATAACTACTTGAAAACACCTTATTTCAGTAAGCAGATTCAAAGAATAAAATATTACTATTACATTATGCCCATGTTTGGTTTATATTAAAATCAGATGTTTAGTAATTTTTTTTAATAAAAATTGTTGGAATGTGTAGTTGAGAAGTTGTGAATATCATAAAATGCGGGATTAAAATTAATTTTTGATTTTAACTTAAATTTTAATTAAATATTATGGTTGTACCGAACGGGGGTATTACACATCTTTTTGCTTAAAAACTTGCTTTATTTATTTTTAAACTTATTATTTCCTTAGAAGTAAAATTAATTATAAGTATTTTTTTAGGACTTAAACTAAACATGCACAATTATGACTGTAGAATCCAAATTCCAAAACCAGAAAGTAAATAAAAGAGAAATGAAATGATGAACTCTTGTAATAGATCAATGAATAAAGCTACAATTTTCATAGTAGGAAATTGTAACTGAGTAGAAGAACATTTGCCATCCATAAACACGACTAAAAATGATCCTTGATGTGAGAAAATTAAAGGAGAATTCCCTAATTTGCTATTTACATTCGGAAGAAAAAATATAAATCCAAGAACAAAAACCCTCCACTAATTCTTTAAATTTCTCTAATTTTCATACTTGCTTTGATCAATTTAATCATGCCAGCAAAGAAGCATTACTACACATCTTCTCATAATGTATAGCCTTCCTCTTTGTTCTTTGAGAAACCTTCCAATACTTCTGCTTGACATTCTTTTCTTTGATCCTTCTGCTGATTCACTACCCCTCTTCATATTTATGTGTATATATATTATAAGCACTTTTCAATGTGCAATAATAGATGCAGATCAGAAATTTGCAGATATATGGCTGAAGTGGGGATGGAGTGGGAGTTTAGCGCTTGTTTTTCTGAGAGTTTAGTAGTCAGTGGATGCTAATGCAACTGAGTTTTAACTTTCAAGTGGGGGGCAAAAGCCATTTTATAGAGGCCATAGTCATCTTGGATTTGGAATCCATGCCCACTCGTCTGAACTATGCCAGGTAATCATATTCAACAACATTAGCCCCCGTTTGGCCCCCATTTTTGGTAATGAAAATGGGAGGAGTAGTATTTTGTTGAAAAAATGAGTGGTTGAAAAAGAAGGAAAATTTTTCGATTTACGTGTAATATTATTTTATGGAAGATTGTGTGGTTGAAAATAGGAGAGAGAAAAATAAAATATAATGGAATGTAATTTAATGGGGGCAAACAAAAGCTAATTGAGACATCATCCTCCAAGATAATTGGTCGGCCCTTAGGGATAGAAAGACATCCACTATCAAAAGTATTTTTTTTTTTATTTATATGTTATTTGTTTATTGAATAATTCTAGTTGTACACCTAAAAGTGTACCGAATTATTTACCCCCTTTCACATACACGCGAGACCCGGTTGAATAAAAAAATTCCAAAATGTGGTCTCCACACCCCTATTATGAGTAATCGGTAAGGAATTAGATAAAACAATTGGGTACATGTAGCATGGTTCTTGTTTGTTTGTGATATGTAGGAAGAAACTAGGATGATTCTTTGTTTTGTTATCCAGCGGAAGAGCTCTGTTGAAGAGCTACTATCATCAAGAGACTAGTTAAACCCTTTTCCCAAAAACTACTTGGATTTGTTATGTAAAATGAGTTTTAGAACCCACAATAAAAATTCGATGCATTAAAGAATATGTTTTTGTAAAGCAAAAGTGCATGTTTGGGGTCAGAACAGATCAAGATCATGACAAATATCATAGCTACCAACACTCGAAGAAAGGATCCTCCAACTCCTCCTCCCTTGATGAGAGAAAAACAAAAGCCATTTGATGATTAAAAATATCACATCAATTATAAATTAATTTACGATCCACACAAGCTCGACTCGACTTCCGAAAACCTTAGTCGATCCCCGGTTTGATACCTTGATAAATATCTAGTTATTTAACACTCAAAGTTAGGACTGTACTTCGTTTAAAATATTATATTCAGAGTTGTGCAAGTAGTCAGATTTCACTGCGGAAGTGATACTTCACACTGCAGCACTTGTGCAACTGGATATATTAATGCGCGCCAAGATAAATGGGACAGGCACCAGACATCGATAAAGTTTTCGAATTCACGACAAATTGTAATTAATTGTCAAGACAATGTCTTTAATTACTACCAGTGTTTATTAATTTAATCAAAACTTGTTTCAGTAATTCGGATCAATACTAAACATGTTTTGTTTTGTGCTCCACTGCTCCCCCCGGTTTCGTGCTGCAGATACTGCCATTCTTTCTCGTGTTAAACGGTGTTTTCTTACAATATTATCTGGTCTAAGTTGTCTTTGTGCTCCTCTCCTCTCATGACTTCCTGCAAATACTGTCAGTAAAAATGGCATCAATTCTATGCCGACCAGAAATTTCTGCTAAAATTTTGAACGTTTAGGTTACGATATGTTCATGCTAAATCGAATCATATTCAATACTGCATGTTGAACACACCCCTCAAAAATTTGCTGGCATTATCGTCTACCGTTCAACGTTCAACATTAATATCTTATTTTTGTGGGGCCTAATTACAATAATGCAAAAAGTTTTGATGAGAGAGAGAAAGCTTGTTGGAGGGAGACAATGGAGATTAAATTACACTCAGATGCGTGGAATTTCAAACAGTGGACCAGATTCTTGGTCCAATTGTTTGAGGCTGGTTCACTCTGAATGTGTTAAAAAAAGACAAAATTGCACGGTACAAGGAGGGCATGTAGCACGTGACAAGCTCGTGAAGGACATTTCCCTCGACCACATTGTAAACTGCTACTTATATATTTGTTTGTGCTGTGCTCTTCCGCTGAAGAAACTTCACTGCATATTCTGAAATGCCTGATGCTTATTTTTTAGATAAAAGTAATCACTAATCTGATCATCAAATCTTTGTTTTGATTTGTACTAAAGATTCTTAAGTAAAGAAAACTCCAAATATGCATGAAATTCATTGAATAGTGCAGTTTAGGGGAATTGATCAAAGACTTGTTTGTCAATAAAATTTCGGCATTAATTAGGAAGATTGATTAACAAAGCTCAGTTGATCAGATTACGGGAAAATCCTTTTGGGATTTGGTCTGTCTCTTCTCCTTTTTGAATATGTGGATTTTATTGTCTGTGATAGGATTTTGCTGATTTTGAACTCTTCTGCAACGTCAAATGAACTTGAATCTATGTTAAAAGTGGTGAATTTGCAAGTCATCACAAATTAATTCAGACCGACCGTCTTCGATTAATTACAACTGAAAATTCAGGTAGCGATCAATTCTTTGTATAGTACTTTCATTGTGCTCTATATAGTTTGTGAAACTAATCCTAAGGATGGATGGGGATGAAATCACGCTGACATATTATGAAATTTTTAGCTCGATAGTGAATTGAAGATTTAAGTACTCGACTTCAAATTTATTCAAAAGACCCGACTTGTTATTCTAAGTATTTAATTAATTAATTTTGTAAATGGTTCCAAAATTATTCTTTTTGTTTTCGAAAAGATTGTAATTGTTGAGTATTTAAACCTCAATGATTTGCTCGAACTTCTTTCTTTCTTAAGTTAATTTACTGGACTTGATAACAAGACCTGCATAATTGGGCCAAACAGCATCTTTCGCAATGAATACCTTCTTCGGCACAATCAAAGACCCACCTTGATATGGACCAATGAGCCCAACAAAATACTCTTCTAGATAAGCATTTACACAAACAGGGAAAATCAAGGGGTTGAGCTGGAAAATATCGATTTTTAATATATATTATAAAATCACCACATAAATTAGCGCTTAAAGAAAAATACAGTAATTACAGTTTATGTAATTTTTTGGAAAAAAATATCTCGACATATTATAGTATAGGTATTTTTTTTACGATGATTGTAACTTACGTTAATTTTGTTACATTATCAGTAATTTTTCGATTTGTAACTTACAGTTGTGTAATAATCACATCACATCCTGCATTATATGTGTGTAGGTCTTATTACAATTTTTGTAATAATCATATTACATCTACGTACATTTTAATTTGTTCATTATTAAATTTACATGACATGTAATTTTTTTATTTTTTATTTTTTTTTAAGATCGTTTCCAATACTACACCGAAATTTGTACCATTCGGCATTAAATTTTGCACCAAGTAGAAAATCATCTCCAATCCATTACATCAAAAGTTGCACCAAATGAATAATATTTAATAATTTTTTTCATTTTTTAAATTTTGACAATTTGTTTATCTCATTATTTATTTATTTATTTATTTTTATTACTACATAAATTATTAAATAAATAATTATGTTTAGTTAAAAAATATTGAATTCATTAATAAATTTAAAAATGTAGTACAATTAATAGAAATACAATACTAAAAAGGAGTTTAATATATTTCAAATCACAATATCATGATATTACAAAGTTGAAATAGTATTCACAATTAATTATTATTGATTAAATGATTAATTTTTTTTATTATAATAATAATAATAATTTAAATTAGAATTAAAATTTATTGTATAACAAATAGAAAAACATACCCTTGAAAAGTTGGTGCAAAAGTTGAAGAGAACGGTAAAAAGGTATTTAACCATTTTGGTGCTAAATGGTGCAATGGGTTGCAAAAGATTTGCACCAAAGTTGGTGTAATTTGGTGAATTATAGTGCAATAGGGATGTGGTTGGAGATGCTCTAAAGTTACAAACTCCATAATAGCAACTAAATAGTGTAATGAAATGTAACGGCTTGCACAAATACTATATACCATGTGTTAAATATGTTATAACGTATAAGTTCTTGTTGTGGAGAACGCAATTTCTTCAAAACTAAACACTGAATAAAAACCACTAGTTCCCCATCTCCATTCGAACAACGATATCAGAACAATCCACGTGACACATTGATAATAGAAAATTAGTTGTAATGTATTGGGCACTAAATTCTTTCCTCTTAAATACTAAAACACTTTAGCACTTGAAAAATCAATCTAAAATAGACGTGAAAAAGGAAGCATAACAATCAACACACCGTGTAATAATTCTTACCATCTCAAACCCGTATTGATGCCTCCAACATCTACACAACATATATTTTCTTGGAGAGAAGTAAAAGGAAATTTCAAGAATCTATTTTATTTTTGTGAAATCATACTTGAGAAAACTTGAGGAGGAGAGACAAACTTGGTTTGTTCAACTTTGAAAATTTTCTTTTGAACAAGGTTTTGAAATTAATTATTGTATATGCTTAGCTAGAATTTAATTAAAACTTATAAGTTATAACTTTCTTTATTCTATGATGAATTAATGTTTTTAATCAGAAATTAACGGCGATATGGCAAAAGAGAAAAAAATATAATCTATAATACATTAAAATATCACATCAAGGGAGCATAATTTTTTTGACGATTTTAACCCCCTACAATTTAATTATTTTAATAATACTTTACTTTTCGTTATTCGATATGTAGTAAATACTACGTAATTATTGTCATTTATGAAATTCGTGTTATTAATTCTCAATTGCCCATGTTTGGCCCCCATTAAATTACATTCCATTTTTTTCTTTCCTATTTTCAACCATACAATCTTTCATAAAATAATATTACATGTAAATTGAAAACTTTTTTCCTTTTCAACCACTCATTTTCCTAAAAAATACCATTACACCCATTTTCATTTATAGAAAATAGGGGCCAAACGGGGGCTAGATTCAATAAATTTTCACTTGATGAATCTTGAATTACATGAATCTAGAATAGTATTATAGATGAATTTATTCATATCATATATCTAGAAATTTTAATGAGTGTTTAAATTTATGTATTAATAATTAATTTTTATGTATAAAATGTAATATAAAAAAAATGCTCACTTATAGTATTTCATCATTATAAAAAATTTGAATAATAAAAACTAAGTTTTGAAGAGTACAATTTCTTTCTCTTAAATTCCTATGCTAAATGTTTTTTTTTTTTTAATTCGTCTTAGACTTATCAAATCATCCAACAAATTGGTACCAAATATCACTTTACATTACTTGTAAAGTATTTTAGAATAACTTGCAATGCACGTTCAACTTTGACTAATAAGGTTCAAATGTCTAAATATATCCCATTGATTACACTATTTTATATTGTAGATTAATATTAACAAACTAATAGTAATCGTATTTAATGAAAGAAATTGACTGTCAAGGATAGTATCGACCATAAACATAGAAATGTAAGGGCAAAATGGAAAAAAACTAATCTTTCCCTCACATCCACACTTTTTAATTTTTATTATTACGTATTAACTATTAAGCCCTTGTTTCATCCCCATTCTCCTAAAATTTATTTTTTTAGAACTCATTTTCAACGACACATTTTTTAATAAAATAATATTACATATAAATTGAAAATATTTCTTTAATTTTTAACAGCACATTCTCTATCAATCTACTATTCAAAATACATTATTTCCTAAAAAATGGGGCTCAATCAAGGGCTAACTATTATAGATTATTTTCAAGTACAAAATGTTGATAACAAGTCAAAATCTATTCATATTATTACTTTTTTCACATGAACTCATTCATGTACTATATAATCATATACATTAACAACGGAGAGCTCACAACTCAACAATTGACGGATGATATTGCACAATGGAACAGTGGGAAGAATAAATTCTAATTTCAATCAAATTATGTCAGCCAAGAAACCCTTAAGAATTCCAATTCCAAAATTTATCACTTCTATGTTTGTACTTACACTGTATTCAATCAAAACTGAACATCAAAATTTCAAATATTTTGAACATTTTCATTTCTTTCTAGCACAAATTTTTGTCCTGAGAACATGGAATAAGATTCCTATATTCTCATCCTATCTTAAGAATAAAAATAATGAAGCTATCTAAGAGAAACAATTCGAGGTACAAGATGGACTAAATGAGATGGGTCCCAGTAAATAAAAATCAGGTAAAACACTAGAGCCTTTTTCCTTTTTGTTTAAGGTGCCTTTTGTGTACCAAAAACAGGAATAAGAAAATGCAACCACTTGCCAATAATTCAACATCAAGAATATGTGGCAGCCGTGCTTGAAGAAACCAAATTGTGTGCATCCAATACCATACATTATTGCAAGAAAAGGTGAAAGCTTACGTTTACGTCCCGAATTTTCGCCATTAATCGCGAAAGTCAAATCAATTGCAACAATAATATCTACGAGCTTTATACTATGGCACACCCTTAAAGTTGGGGTTCAACCTTTTTTATTATGTACGTTTCTCTTATTAATCTTTTTCTAATTTAATGTACTAAATATGTTTTCAATGTAAAAAAAAGAATTGTTTCTAGAATGATTATCCTTCTATGTGACAAAACATCTATTTTAAAATAATAATAAGTTTAATTAAGTGTAATATAAAAGTTTAATGTATTTGACTTATTATTGAATATCACATTACATCTTATCATCTTAAGGATATACTAGTTATAGACGTGCTTTGCACGTTATTTTGAAATTTTTTTTATATGTTTTATAAAAATAATAGTTGAGTATGTGAGAATATAAAAAATAATTAAAACAAATTGTTTACGGGGAACAACCTTTTTATTCAAATGAAATAAAAACCAGTTTTCAATAACAATTTAAATAGTTGAGGAAGTCAATTAGAATATTCCCTCCATTTACCCTTTTGATCTGAATGGAACATCTAACGAATACTATCTTTTTTTGCATATTTGCTTAATATACATTGAATATATCAATTAAAATTATTTATTATAGATACGCATTATGTCCTCCAATTTATTTTCTCCGTATCTTATCATTCACTGAATAAATCTATTAGAAGAAAACTCTAAAAATGTTCATATTTTGTTCCAATTTTTTTTAACGAATTTAATTTACTATCCAATCAAGTGGAACAAGTCTATCAAATTTACATTGATCATAACTAAATAATTGACAAAATAATTCATGGTATAATTGTTCAAATGATTAAATAAATCAAATATATATTGAAAAAGGAAAAGGAAATGAATCTATTAAATATGGTTAAATAAATTAAATACATATTGAAAAATAAGAAATAAGGTAATGAATGTATCAAATATTAATTCATCATAACTAAATAGTTGACAATATAATTAATGACAATATTGTTCAAATAATTAATAAATTAAACACATGTTGAAAATGAAAAATAGAATATTATTAAAATAATTAAGTACATATTGAATAAAGAAAAGTAAGGTATTATTGAAATAATTGAATTATAGTAAAGGTCGAATCGTCCAAATTTTTTTTTTATCATTTGATGTGATAATAATAATAATAATAATATTTAATATTATACACATTATATTATAATGTAGATTATAGATTATGTAATTACTCAAAAATTACGTGCGATTCGTAGTATAGGAAAAATTTTAATCCAGAATGGCTGGATCAAAACCTATTAGGATAGAGTAATGCTATTTAATTTTACTAGATTATACTCTCAGTCTAGTTTGCTCTGATTTGACTTATGGGCACAAGAAAATAAATTATATGCGATTAAATGGTCCAAAACTTATTTGTATGAAAATTATCAATTAAAAGTGTTTGATTGATTTATTTTTCAATCTGAAAAATATTATACTCATTCATTTTTTATTGGTAAGTAGATGAAACAGAAAGGAAGTAAATGAGAGAGGACGATATAGAATTACCTGAAAAATAAAAAGTTATTCTACCTGAAGAAAATATTTTTCTTGTTTTCAAGAAAAATATGGTCATATGACCAAAAGTAGTAAAATAATTTCCATAAAAAAAATTAATCAAACAGTACAAAAGTAAAAATTTGGATGAAAAAAATCATGTTTTATAAAAAATATTGGCAATCAAATGCACCCAAACAAAAAATGGGATTTGGGGTTGCAATTCCGACTAATTAGGATGCTGCCAGATGTCCCCTCAAATATTATGTGGCTACACGTTTGCGTATTTTATTTCAACAGCCTCCATTCCAACCTTCCCTAATCAATTCATCACCAATCCAAAACCACGTCATCTTTTAGGAACTTATCTCTACATCGCAGTTCGTTGGCTCTTTTTTCATCCACCATTCTTTAATCACGACGGTCAATTCTACCGACCCTGATGATCGGCCGGTGCCTTCATCCCATCTTCAGCCAGACACTTGTTCGGTGATTATACTTTTCCTTGTGAACTTGATATATGAGAACAGTGAATATTTCCTTTTTTTTATATGTGCGAATATTCCAAATTATTGGGATATGTTTTTAGTATAATTTTCTCCAATTTTACTGTCTCTGCTATGTATAAATACGAAGGTCTTACACGATAATTTCTCCATTGTTATTTCTTTCTGTTTTTCTCTCTAAATACATAATCTTGTAATAATATTCATCAATGGCGTTTAGGAAAACATTGGCCCAGCGTCTTTTCTGCATGTCTAGAATCACAAATCCGGCTTTAACGAATTGCCGGATTTCTTCATCATCGACGGCTGCGAATGCTCCGACAAATCAACAGCTAAAGCAAAATATAATGGCTATGGATCTTGGAGATGACGGGATTTTCCGGCGGTACCTTCACCGTCAATCGTTGGCCATATCGCCTGAGATCCGGTCCTTGCCAACCGGGGAAAAGATGCTTGAGAAACTCCGGGGGATGGACATTACCCGGGACAGGATCAGGCTTGAAGGATTGATGCCGCCAGGAGGAGCGGCGGCGGAGGCGCCGAATAAGAAGCTGACGGTTGAGGATGTCAGAAGGATTCTGAGATTGTCCCAGCTTGAATTGGTGAAGGAAAGGCTTAAGCAAATTGAAAAGGATTATATTTCTTATTCAGATTATTTACAGATTTGTGTTAAATATTGCTCGAGTGTTGATCAAGGAATGGTGTTCGCCAAAATGCTTGATGAATCTGGCACTGTTATTGTACTGGGTGATTTCGTCCTCGTCCGTCCTGAACAGGTTGGTTCTTTTACTTCTATAAGTTTTTCAATTTATTTATCTACAATTGAATTCATTTATTTAATTTAATCTGTTGGGATGAACATCCATCAATAGGAACACATAAATTTTTCTTCTTTTTTAGAAATTTTTCAAGACTACCGAGAACTGATAGTTTCTTCATTGTGCGTGTTCCGTGTCTTCTTCCACAGGAAAAGTGAAACAATGTTTCGCACTCAGATCTCCTAAAACGAGATGGTGACTTTTATTATTGGGTGGATCACTCATCAAAAGCAGATTATTTTCAGAGACTAAAAATCACCATCATGAACATCTAATCAATTTTTTTTACCAAATGGGGTAAAAAGGGTGGATTTTTTTTATTACTATTATTATATTTTTTTTCCAGAAAAACAGTAGTCGTTGAGAAATTTTGAGAAGGGACAACCTTTTTATGATTTCTACAGGGAGAAAAAAGAAAAAGGGGTGAAAATGACATCCTACTATTCTGTCAATTTTCCCAAGTGATTACATCAGTAAATATATATATTTACCAGGGTAATTCTAATACAGAGAATTGAGAAAAGGATTTACAGAAATTAGAATCTTTGTGCATGGAATTTTTTACCAGAAGAAAAGTGAGATTCAGTAGCAAATAAACGCAATGGCTGTTTTTGAAAAGAATAACTAATTGATCTGGCAGAATTAGACAAAAGCAGGTGAAGCAAGACGTGTTTTATCCAATGTTGTGTACAATGTTTCCATTACAGGTGATGAAAGCCATCAAAGACCTAATACCAGTGCCTATATCCAATTTAAGTGATACGCGAATTAACGAGCTCGAGGAATTGGAGAAACAGAAGACCGTCATCGACAAGAAAGCCGAGTTGATGGTACGCCGTGAGCTTTGGGGTGGACTAGGTTATCTAATTATCCAAACAGCAGCCTTTATGAGGCTAACATTCTGGGAACTTTCTTGGGACGTAATGGAACCTATTTGTTTCTATGTAACGTCAATGTACTTCATGGCTGGCTACGGTTTCTTCTTGAGGACATCCCGGGAGCCTTCTTTCGAAGGATTCTTCCAAAGTCGGTTTATTGCGAAGCAAAACCGTCTCATGAAGCTTTACAATTTCGATATTGTTAGATATAACGAGCTCAAAAAAGTTTGTTATCCAAATTCATCGAGTGAAAGTGTTGTATCTTTTAGTACTTCATTTGGTGATGTTCAAAGAACATAGTTTTAATTTTAGAGGAAAGAAAAGTGGTAGAGATATTACTTCTTTTTCACCCTTTTACTGATTTCTACTGATGTATCTGCGGCTCTAGTTTTAAAGATATTTTGAAGAGTGTTAACATGGTAACCATTTCTTCTCTCAACAGTATATATATATTTTTTTTCACTCAAATTGTTCGTTGAATTTATAATTTGTTGCAGTATTACAAGTTAGTAAAATCCTTAATGACATGTTGTGGTCAAAGGTGGCAATCGAGCCGAACTGCTCGCCGGTTTAACCTCTTAACTCTTAAAAAAAGGGCTCATGCCGCTATGCTCGCCCATGGGCGAGTGCCCCACGATTAGGCTCGTGGTAGACGAGCACGTGGCTCATTTTATGAACAGTGACTGAAACGGCCACTTTTTTTTAAAAAGGTGGCCATTTTGATCGCCGTTATAGTTCAGTGACCATTCACTGAACTTTGCAAAAGAGGCCGTTTTATCCACTTTTTTCCTTTTTTTTTATTCTATAAAAATACCCCAATCAATTTCCAAATTTTTTCACAAAACAACACAACATTCCAACAACAAACAATTGTTACAATTCTCACCCTCTTCATTCTACACAATCTACTACTTCTATATTTCTAATTTTCTACCTTCAATTTCAATTATTCAATATCATTATATCAATTACAATTACAAATTTACCACACTACAAATTTACTAATTATACTTACTATACAATAACCCTATACATATCCTACACATTTCATTACAAGTTCACAATTCACAAATGGATCCACACACATTTGTTGAGGGCTTGTTCGGTGGTGTTTGAGGCGAATCATCTATGACGTCGCTAAGTTGATTTCGGAATGAATTTGTTGGTTTAAAAGAAGTGCCAATTCTCGAAAATATTCCAAATTTTGAAGCTCATGAAAGTAGTAATATAATTTATTTGGATGACATTAATGTTCCTAAAGCGGAACATGAGAATAAACATGAATTAGATATTCCCGCTTCAAGAGGTTAGCGAAAGGGGAAAAAAGAAAAAAATGTTGAGATCACTTTAAATTAATTCCAATGGGCTGTGTCTTCAATAGAGCTGCAAAGTTTAAATCAGTATGTAAATACTGTCAACAACAAGTGGAATGGCAGAAGGCCATTGCTACCACCGACCTAAATCGTCACTACAAAGCATGTGTGGTCAAACATGAGCTTCTTCTTGCCAATCAAATGCAATTGCAATTTGGTAGTCCAACCACTAGTTTTGCTTCCATGACACTTTGAACGTGGATGTATCAGGAAGAGAAAGCACAGATGGGAATGGTAAAGTTTGTTGGTGGTGCTGAGTTGCCTTTGGTAATAACGAGCAATCAACATTTCTTTTCTTAAGTGAAAGAATTATTTTCAACCGAGGTACGTCGGGATAAGTCGAAACTCTCTTTTTCTCGGTACAATAAAATATTTTTTAATTCAAAAAACAATTAATTACTGATTTACAAAAATATAGGAATATTATATCTTTAACTTCGGATATATGGGAAAAGATTAATAAAATAGATATATAGCTGCAACTACACACTACATAAACCTACTTTGGTGTTTGCATAAAAAATTATTGCCTTTAAAATTATTAAGTCTCCTCACAATGTTAACAATATATAAAATGCTATTATGAATATTATTAGAGAATATCACTGCGAGAGTAAAATACGTTCTTTTAAGTTTGACAACGTTAGTGTTAATAAGCCAGTTATCGATAAATTGTGTAGGGTTCTATAACTCGATTTCGGTAATTATTTATTTCATATTTGTTGTGAGTGTCATATTTTTTATTTAATGTCCAAGATAGTTTGAAACATATTAAGAATGAATTTCAAGAAATTAGGAATGTACTAATATATATCACGATTTCACTTAGTAGAAAACATGAGGAATTTTGTGTCGAATTTGAAGTGACAAATACAGAAACATTTTTTAGTGACGTAGGATATATATGGAACTCCACTTGCTTGTTATTAAAATCATGCGAAAGATTTGAACATTTAATATTTAAATATTATAATAAAAGGTATATTGAAACAATAATGAAAGTATTTTGAATGAATTTCATTGGCTTTTAGCTTTACAAGTTAAAAAAATTTTGACAAATTTTTTTGACTCTACAAATATTTTATTTGTAGAATACTATACTACTAGTTGTATGGTGTTTGAACGTCTTTCTATAATTGTAGGGGCTTATCATAAATACAAAAGTGACCTCGACTTTAGTGAAGTTATATACTCTATGGAATTATAGTTAAAAAAATATATATATATTGAGAAGAGCTGCCTATCTTATTTCCTTTAGCATGTATTATGGACCCAGATATAATTTATTAAGAAGTAATTAAATTCTAGCAAAAATATGAACAATGATGCCGAGTGGTTTTTATGTTTGCAAAAGACCTACTAACACCTTCGGTTAGCACTGTAGATTCAGAGTCTGCTTTTAGTGCAGATAAAAGAGTTCTGTCTGAGATTGGGAGCCGGCTGAAAAAAGATATTTTAGAAGTATTAATGTGTGTCAAGAACTGGCAAGACGCTCATTTTCGATTGCAAGATAAATACGTCGAAATTACATGTCGTCAGATAAGTGATATTTAATTTAACTACATTAATCAAATTTTGTTATTTCATAATACTGTTTTTAATGTTTTTAAAAAATTATATACACAACAAGTTGTTCGTGTACAATTTTTAACCCCGCACACTCAAAAGTTAAGTAGTTGATCCCAAACCTAAATCAAGGAGGAGGATTTTATCTATTATGGGAAAAATAAAACGCGAGCTAGCGAGTCGAGTTAGCTCGACTTGTGGAACCGACTCGGCCCATTGCCAACATTAGTTGTGGCAATCAACCTAGTGGTTAGGTGACATGATTGAAAGAAAAAGTAATAATAAATAATTAGTGCTCCATTTGAAATTTCACTTCAAATTAATAAGCAACAATATAACATGCTCTGTTCTTGTAAAATAATTAGGAAAACACTTAAAAGTTTTAATTCATTTTCTAATTATTCGTATTTGTACATAAGGTCTTCATTTCAAACATTGGGTAGAGAGTAAATAATTGGTTCATTTGAATGGTTTCCATCCCAATTAAAAGGGTTAAACTTTTGATATAAAAAAATAAAATAAGTGAAAAAGAAGATCAACTCATTCCAATTTAAATAGAATGTATTTAAAAATATTTATCTCCAATGCAAGTTGATAAGAATTCTGTCAAGGTGATTTGGTAGGGAAGAAATAGATGTTTTCTAGAGCTCTCTAGATTTAGAAGCTCGGATAGAAATGCTAATTTAGCAAAATTTATATTTCTTATGCAGATTTAAATGTGGTTTGTTGTAACTTAAAAAAAA